CATAGTATTCCATGGTATAAATGCACCACAGTTTTTTTTTATCCACTCATCTACTGATGGGCACTTGAGCTGTTTTAGATCTTATTATAAATTATGCTGCTATGAACACAGGAATGCATACATTTTTTTTCTGATTGGTTTTTGGGTTCCTTGGGATATATTCCTAGAAGTGGGATCACTGGGTCAAATGGCAGTTCCATATTTAATTTTTTTTGTTTTTGAGGAAAGGCTATATTGTTTTTCATAATGGCTGCACCAGTCTGCATTACCCCCAGCAGTGTACTAGGGTTCTCTTTTTTCTACATCCTTGCCAGCATTTGTCGTTTGTTAATGGTAGCCATTCTGATAGGTGTTAAGTGATACCTCAGTGTCATTTTAATTTGCATCTCTCTGATGATCAGTGACTTTGAGCATATTTTCATATGTCTCTTGGTTATCTATATGTCCTCTTTGGAGAAGTGTCTAGGTTTTTTGCCCATTTTTTAAATTGGATTGTTTGTCTTCCTTTTGTTAATTTGTATGAGTTCCTTATATGTTTTGGATATAAACCCTTTATTAGATAAAATATTGTTGCCAAATATCTTCTCCCATACAGTGGGTTTCCTTTTATAAGAAGTATTTTTAATGTCCCCTTTGGTGCCAAGGTAAAATTAATAAAAGTCTCTGGCCAAGCTCCCTAGAAAACCAAAGTTGGAGCAGGGATGAAGCGCTGATGCTTTAAGAGGCCCAATTCTAGGGCACTGAAACTGAAAGGGAAGAAGAATAGGGCAGCAAGGCAGGTGATCCATTCCTGCTCTGGCCACTGCTTCATGAGGCCCAAAGAGACAGCCAGTCACACATCAGGTGTCTTCTCAGTCCCAGGGGATGTCTCTCAGGATATAGAGTCTATGGAGAAACCATGTCTCAGAAATAGACAAGAGGGAGCAGGAAGAGGATTATTTTATTTACTCAAATCCTTCCTATTATTAACTCTTGTTTGGCCCACAGACATTTCAATCCCCCCACAGTCCTGTGTGGTTCAGGTCATTACCTTAGCAGATGTCCAGGGTACTTTTCTTATGCCCTACAGTGTAGACTACCATCCAAGTCTGGAATTGATGACATAAGCCAGAAATTCAAGTATGCATCTCCTTAGCCTGGTGACCAGGCAGCAGCCAAGGGGAGAGTTAGGGGATGCTGCGTTTCCAGGCAAACAGTTAATTGGCTCTGAGTGGCAGAAACACTTAGTTCAAGCAGAGCTGGCAGTGCATAACCTTGAATAAGCAGCTCAGAGTCGACTAGATGACATTGAGTGTGTCTGAGGAGATACACAGTATTTGCATAGTACAGATACATAACCGACATGCAGCCAGGATGCTTTGATTGATATCCCCTGACTGTAAGGTAAAGACATTTTAGAAAGAGACAGCATGATAATAAAATATATGCATTTCAACGTGGAGGTGCTGGAGAGCAGCCATACTGAGATAAAACAGTCACCCAATAGTTGACTTTCACCTCGGTTCAGCATGAATGGGGCACAGATAAAAGTAGTCAGGGGTCTTATCTTGGTGACTCAAGTACCTACCATGTTCACGCTTGCTGCCTGTGACTTGTTTTTATAAAATGCCCTGAACAAAACAAAAATCCATCCTTCCATAAACGTGGAAGTTGCATATCTAGAAAACGCAGAATATGTTGAATCAGATTAAAAAATAAAATAAAATAAGGCTTTTCCATGTAAACTGTAGTCAGGGTCTAGGCTCAAGTCATTATTACGGTAACACGATTTTCACCTGTATGAATAATTCAGGACCCAGAAATTATGTGGAGTAGTTCCCTTGGATGCAGGGACTGTCATCACACCGCAGGAAGGCTATCCACTCTGGCTTTTGTTCAGTAAATACCAGCAGTGTCCCTTCTCCCCAGTCACTGTGACAGCAAAACACCAGCAGAGATTTCCACGAACCCCAGCAATGCCGCTCCTCCTGAGGACCACTTTTTAAGAAGCAAACAATATCTATATTATATCTGCATTTTGCACAAGTTGCATTTACACATTCATCCACATTAGCCCTTAGAGATGGGCCGTTCTTTGTAACAGTCGGACAATATTTTAGTGCATCAGTGGGCCATAATGTGTTATTTAGTTCTTGATGGCCACGTTGATCTTTTCAGCTTCTTATTATAAACAATGCTGCAAAGATGATCCTTACACATTAGTGCTTGTATACTTTATCTTAGGATAAAGTCTCAAAGGTACATGTATTTTTTACATTTTTATATATATATTACCAAATTACCCTTCAAATTATTGCTAAATATAGGTTTCCCCCAAAAAATGTATACATTAACAGTTCAGTTTTGAAAATGAAATGTATTTTAATAAATGCTGCCTTTATAGTTATTCATAGTGTGTGTATATACATGTTTTTTTGGGACATCTTATATATAGTAGTATCTCAGCTAATGGTGAATATAATTGTTTGTTTTCCCATGGCTTCCTACCTACCTTGTTTCCCCGAAAATAAGACAGTGTCTTATATTAATTTTTTCTCCCAAAGTTGCGCTAGGTCTTATTTTCAGGGGATGTATTATCTCAGGGGATGTATTATCTTTCCATGCGCTAGGTCTTATTTTCGGAGGATGTTTTATTTTCGGGGAAACACGGTAGTAGTCACCTACTTTGAATTGTCTTTTTACATAAGACACTCACATGAGAAAGATTGGGCTTTCAGTGTTTTCTAGTGTAGGACAGGGTAACGAGTGGAAGGTGGGCACATAAGTTTTACTCTCAGTATATAAACACTTCCTAAGCACTGTGGCCAGTGGAGCGGCCTGCCTCTGAGATAAGGAGCTCCCTGCCCAGAGCTGGAAAATTTTTATTTCCAGTGGAGTAAACACCTAACAGATATGTTCAGGAAGAAACTTTTGAGTTTACTGGATTACTATACAAAGTTAACTTTTAGGAACATGTAGTACCTCGACCATAGTGTATGTGGGATGACTTTAGGTGGCACAACTTTAAAATTTTTAACTGGTTTAAATTCATTTTTATGTATATTTGCTGCATTGCTATGTTACTAGCAAATCATATACTCTAAAATGCTAAAATTTATACATAAACTTTGGGCAATAATATGCTTGATGACTTCCAAAGTCTCTTCAAAACTGAGATTCTACAGTTCTAGATGTAATCTCAATATTACTAAATTGTCAGATAATAAAATGACTTCTCAACCCCAGCCTGTTACATTTATTACAAGCAATTTAAACCCAAATCAAGTACTAGCATTACAGATTTCAAGTATTAGGAGCTTGAGGGAATTCCATGAAAACTTAAGTTAAAAATGAGGGTCCCTAAGCCCCAGGTGAAGACCCATCCTGAAACTACTACCGTAGTATACACAACTCCAAAACCAAAACCAAAAGCCCATTGCTACTGCCATCCCCTTTATCCATTAGCACCTTCTAAAGGCCAGTGTTAGGAAGAGAATAGGCTGTGTTTACACAAAACCATATCCCTCTGTGGCTATCATGAGACCACCAGGCAGTCCACCATATTCAGAAGTGAATATTTATTTAACTCATACATAAATTTTACATGATATCCATTGTGTTATAAACATAGGGACATTTTTAAAAAACTCAAGGTACATTCAAAACCACTCCCTCACTTCACTCCACTCCAATCCCCTCAAGATGGAATATCTGATATTTGTATAACAAGGGCCAGAGAGGCCCAGCACATTAATTTTGGGAGAGTGCTTCTGACCATTATGATCATTCCTTCTGATTTCAACCAAGAAGGGTTAAAACATTTTTAAACAAAGGAGCATGCATTTTTTCAGCCTTTTAATTCCATCAACTGATAGAATTAAGGCCTCTGCCTGGATTTTTTTTTTTAATACACATATGGTTTTGTTTCTCCTACTTAGTTCAAGTCAGAAAAAATAAATATTGGTACCTATATTCCTGCTGGCCTTCTTTAAATGCCTATGGGATGGTTTAAAGGTATTTCACCCAAACACATCTCTAACAAATGGGTAGCTTCCCACTAAGTACAGTTAAACATCCCTCTTTTCTGTTGGTTTGACCTTAAAAGGACAAACATTGCAAGTTTAATTATTCATTGATTCACATAAGAAACGGACTAAGCACAGAGCAAGGTGGGCAGAGACAAATTCATCAAAATGACTCAGTTGATGGATTTGATTATACCAGGCATGATCCAGACGTATGAGTGTGTCATTCACAACACTCATAACACACATCAAGACAAGATTACAATCTACACTGTAGAGTCATTGTAATTTGAATTCAGAATGAGAAAAAAATGAGTGTTTGGAATTGATTCATCATAGCTATTCTGATATGATACACTAACTTGGAAGAAAATAAAATTATTCATATATACAATTCTCAGTAAAATTTTCTATTTCTTGTTAACACATTTTAATTCAGAAAATGCATTAATTTTATTCAAATATATTTTTTAAAATATAAATATATTAAGTTTTTATAAATGCAGAGAATGTAGTTTCTGTTGATTCCCCACCCAGATAGTAATCAGTCCAAAACTTAAGTGATGAAGAAATCATATTTGTAATTGTGATCATTTTACTTTGTCTATAAATATATAATAGGATCTTTGCAACTTAATTATAAGTAACTCATACTTCATATACTAGTACTACTGAGCACCGTTGATTACATGTTGTATTAAACAATTAGCATTAACATATCTAATTTAACACGTTATTTACAATCACAAGTATAATTATCTTGTATAACAACATTCCAGTGATTTTGAAAATATATAATGAAAGAGTGCAGCATAATTTACAAATGCATCAAAGCTTTCTTTGCAATAGTTAGCCTGGAACTTGACATTCTTCAGCATTTTAAAATAAGAAACAAGCAAACAAAAAAAAAGTCAAGGTTCTAAAACTGTATTTTCCGAAGTTTTTGTTTGTTTGTTTGTTTTCTTGTAGCAAGAGCTACCCAGGATGTCCTATTTATTTTGTGTTTGTCTGTTTGTTTTAACATAGACTTCTCAGGATTCTGTGTTAAAAAGGAGTTCTGTAGGCAAATGTAGGGAATGGCACATGGAACCCCCTTGGAGAACTGCAATGTAAATTGAAGTCTCCGAGGAGGCCTGCAATCTGTTTACCTTTTCTTAACTCCATATTTAACAAAACATTTTTTATTCCCAACCTCTTAGTGCTACCCCCACAAGACACCACTCAATGTTCCTTGAAACTAGTGTTACACGTACTGGGGAAGCGCTGGTCTAAAATAAAATCTTGCAATTCAATAAACACTTATGTCTGAGTGAGCAAAATCACATTCCTTGAACAGTTTCCACTTTGTAAAGCTCTTTTGCATAGGTATTTCCCAAAATACAACTTTGAAAACACACACACACACATACACATATCTAACCCAGGCTATTCGTCTATGTAAACTGTATGGGAAAGAAGGGTTACAAATGCTTATAGAAATTCTAGAGCTAATTTGCAGGGTTTGAATAAAGTGGCTCCTAAATCAAGTATTGGGTGTATTTTTAATTAATTTGTTTTGAAAGATAAAAGCATTGGATCAGTAATATGCTATGTGGTGTCTGAAAATATTCTTGTAGAAAAATATCAGGTCATTATATTATATCCCTAGAATTCTGAAAGACCTGTGGATGCTCTCAATAGATTTGATTATAATATCGGGTCTATATGTGAAACCCAGGATCATCCAGAATGGTATGAGGCTGCTCTATTACTGGTTCAAAAATACATGCATATAAGCACAGGCAGGACCAAGGGTCAATAAATTGCTCAGTGCTTCCACTGAAAACCACAAAATTATGATAATTATATGAGTTGTATATATACTTATATATCAAATGACAATCATTAAAAAAAAATCCATAATTTGCTTTCTATAAATAACGCTATCAGTTTTGGCTCTACAATGGCAGACCTTGGTGTGAGTGCAGCCCAGAATTAAGCATCTTTCAGTCTCCGCTGGCTCAGCTTCCACTAGCTTACCCCTCAAATCAGTGTCTGGGGCTTCAATTCCTGCTCAGCATATGCTCATGGAACACTTCAGCATCTTTCTACATCGTCAAAAGATAATTAAGAAAAATGTAAGAGCTGCTTTATACTTAAAAGGTGGGTTTCCATTTAAAGGATTTGTCTTCCCTTTCCAGGGAGAGTCAACTCAGGAGTAGGAGATAAATCACAATCGACATGGGGTCATTACCGGACAGGAGAGAGGATAATGTCCATTTCTCATCTTGCTATTTCAGCCCTTGCTTACCTGGGTGAACCAGTTGCCTAGAAACTGGTGTGATTAAGATCTGCACATGCTGTTCTACTGGAACGTCCTTGATTGTCAAAAGCTATGCCGAGTATTTTTCCCAGCGCCCTCTCCTCTTTACCCGTTTACTGCTCTAAAAAGACAGTTTGATCCTGAAGCTCCCTGTGGTATCTTCTTAGGATACCTCCTTTAGTTGGTGAAGTTGACAAGAGGAGTCTGGGACAGTTACTGCAGGGCTCCTGGCATCTAAAGCCGACTGGCATGTGACATGGATGGCACACTTGCTGGTGGCGTCGCAGCCCTCCTTCCCTCAAAGGCCAGTCACCCCTCCGTTCAGGCCACCAGGCCCAGTCTTGTGATTTTAGCTGACAGGAAGGAGTGAATGATGAAAACAATTGGCTTGGGGCAGGAATGAAGGTCCAGTTGCTGAAATTTGAAAAGAAGAGAGCATGAGAGATTATCAAAGCAATGCTTGGTACAGAAGAGCGATTGACACATCATACGGTTGGAGCACTTCCTGCTTTTAAGAGTTAACTGGGGCAATTAATGTTTTCAAATCCTTGCCCCTCAAGGAGACCAAAACGTGCCTCTTGGAACTTAACTCTTTACATCTCACATATCTTTTTCTCCGAAATTGGTTCTGTGAAATTTACACATACCAATAGCATAAATATTAATATCGCCCTTCTTCACTATTTCCAATATCACAATAATGATATTGTGTATGTTAGGTTAGATATTGCATGAAGCAGCACTAAATGTCACGTTGGTTTGAGTTTCTCGGTCCTACCCAACTCACAGGGTGGTTAGAGTATTAAATGAGAATCAGTAGGTAAAAATTCCTTATACGCTCCAAACACAGGGCCCATGCTGCTCAGCAACCGTGTCCTCACTGTCCTCTGGCCTGGACTCTTGGATTGTTGTAGGCAAGCATGTCACATGTGTGGTAAGGCCCTTTCCAAAGTCTCACCCTCCTCAGTTTGTTCTTGCAGAGCCAATGCCTGGTCACAATGAATTTGTATCACCTGACCCAATTCAGGAGAACTGGGAGCGTTGTCCCAAGTCTCATCTGCTGTCCCCAGTTCTCTCTGATGATGGAAAACAACAAGCCGAACATAGGTTTTATACATTATATATGAACCAGGCACTGTGCTAATTTTTATATGCTGTCATTGCATTTTCACAAAATCTTGTGAGGTAGCTGTTGTAATCTCTATGACGTCTATGGGAAACTAAGATTTGGGTGAAGTTATAAAGCTTTCTGAGATCATCAATCATGCAGTACAGAGAAAGTGTGGGCTCAAAGGCAAGTCTATCAGATGTCAGAGTGAGGGCTTCACCACCATATTCTGTTTCATCAACAGAACGAAACTTCTGAAAGTCACCTTAAAGATTTTGTACTGCAGTCCCTGTATCTTATGGATGGGGAGGCTCAGATTTAAAGCAATAGAAGGACTGCCCAAGACAGTGGTGATGGACTCCAGACTTAGAGGACACATGTCTCTTGACCCTCACCTTTCTGGCTTTCCCACAACTCTTCTCTGCTCCCTTCCCCCATCCCAAAGGCCCACTGCCTGCTTCTTGGGGTTGCTTAACCGGACACTTTGGGGGAGCTGTCTGTGAACTTGAGCTTATCAGCCTCATGAACTGGCAGAAAATCAGTCCTTCCTAAGTCTTCCAAGTCAGGTCGTAATTACAGGCAGGAAGGCTGACATTTAGACAAGTGATTTTCCTCACAGGCAAAAATAGCCTTGAATTTTCAAGTCAAGGGTAAAGCAGGAGATGGGTTCTTGTTCTTTTCGACTCTTCTAGGGAAAAGTGTACGGCTGGGTGATTGGCAGAACAGCAGCTGAGCCAGGAGGGTTCTTAGTAAAATGGACTTTCGGATCACTTTCTCATTTCCCAACTGGTGCTTCGGGCTGAATTTACTGACTGAAACATACAAATAAGTGACAAAATATCCTATAAAATGCTGTGGATCCATTTTCAAAGTTAGAAAAATGGCTGGCTGGAAAATGTCCTCAGAAAGTGAATGTAGATCACCTGTCAGCCATAGGGTGAGGACTCATCATGACTCCCTATGGCTGCCCTAGGAAGAAGTCTGATATTCTGTCAGGGCTAGTAGTAGGGCTTGTTCTAGAATAGTGATGCTGAATTTTAGGATTAAAGATCCCTAAGCTCTTTTAAGTGGTTCTGGCTCTTTCCTTCAGTCAGCCCTGAGTGGTTTTCAAAGAATTACCAATGAAATAACTAGAGAGATGAGGATGGGAAAGAATGGATTGTGGGGAGGCCAGTAGATGAATTGAAATTCTTGGATCTTTTTAAAAATATATATATATTTTTATTGATTTCAGAGAGGAAAAGCGAGGGAGAGAGAGATAGAAACATGATGAGGGAAAATATTTGATTGGCTGCCTCCTGCATACACCCCACTGGGTATCGAGCCCACAACCTGAGCATGTGCCCTGATTGGGAATTGAACCGTGACCTCCTGGTTCATAGGTCGATGTTCAACCACTGAACCACACTGGCCAAGTAAATTCCTGCATCTTTTAAATTGAGATTTATCTCTGAATTTTATGTATTCCCCATCCCTGTTATCAAGTGGAAGTCAATACAAATTTGTTGACTAATCCAGTGACTAGGAAGGACCCAAATTAAGACTAGTTATTACAAAATCAAGGTCCTCTTTGATCTTCTACATTCCATAGCTTAAATGAGATGCTATGTCTTCCAGAGAAATCTCAAGAACGACACTTACTAGAAAATAGAAGGAAGGGCATTTCTCACCCTTCAGTGAATCTGAACTAATGTACTTTCTACTTACAGCAGGTGGTAATAATCACAGAAAATCACAGATTGAAACACAGGGACTATTTGCACTGTTATGAAAAGCATGATTCCTTCACTGGTAAATTTGCATTTTGTTGGACATTTCACATCCCCTCCTCCACCCAAACTTCTAGGCCTTTGGCCCTCTCCGCTGTGGCTTGGAATCTGTCCTGGTCCAGCTCCTCCAGCCTCAGTGCTCTATGCCCTTTGCTCCTGTGGGACCTCCCAGGTGACCAGGACCTGCTATTTCACATCTCTGCATCCCCGACAGCACAACGCCAATGCTAGAGGAGATGCTTGATACTTTTTAAAAATTATGTACATTTTGAAGCTATGTTTGAGCATCATTTAATGCTTTCTTCATAAAGGATTATTTCCGTGGGTTCAAATATTTATGTAGTATTCTAGTGGAAAATAAGACTAACATAACTGGAAGAATTGGATTTGATCAGTTTTTTAAGGATTGAATAAGACATGAACCCGGTCCTAGTTAGTTTGGCTCAGTGGATAGCATCTGCCTGAGGACTGAAGAGTACTGGGTTTGATTCTGGTCAAGGGCACATGCCCGGGTTGTGGGCTCTATCCCCACGAGGGGGCATTCAGGAGAAGGCAGATCAATGATTTCCTCTCATTGTTGATGTTTTTATTTCTCCCTGCTCCTTCCTCTCTGAAATAAAAAGCATATATATTTAAAAGAAAAAGAAAGACATAAACTTGCAAGTACTTTTTAAATAGTCAAATGCTAAAAAAATACAAGGTAGTACTATGTTTGCAAGCCATTATAGGTATGTTGCATAATGAAATAAAGGAAATCAGACTTTCTAAAGAAAAGGGTACTTACCAGCTCTCCATCTTTGCCTCCAAAATCTAAATACAGCATCCTGATTCCATCATCTGAAGACATTTTCAACTTTTCATATGGGGCCTGTATGATTGTCTTGGGAAAGGCACCCTCCTGTGGTTCAGTGGTAATAGAAAATCCATTGTCATAATGTATGGTCAGACGGCACTCCTGGTTTCTATAGGTGCAAGCTGAGGGGAGAGAGGAAGAGAGAGATGAACTGCGGAAGGCAACTCGTTTTCATTGATTTTTTACAGAGAGGAAGGGAGAGAGATAGAGAGCTAGAAACACTGATCAGCTGCCTCCTGCACAACCCCACTGGGGATGTGCCTGCAACCAAGGTACATGCCCTTGACCTGAATTGAACCCTGGACCCTTTAGTCCAAAAGCTGATGCTCTATCCACTGAGCCAAACCAGTTTCGTCAAGGCAACCCATTTTCCCAGGCACTTATATTTCAACTCTCCTCAGTCCCAGTGACCAACCCCAAATTTATTTCTGAAGTTAAAATTAAGTTATTGTTCATTAAAATATTCTCCTTGGGTTGATTTTGATCTTGTAATTTAACATGCTCAGTGAAACTAAAGGAAATAAACGGGAAGAAATCCCAGTTGCTGGGATTTATTGAATTTTATCTGGTCCCCAGCCCTAATCTGTCCATCATACGACACATAGGAGTCCTTGTCTCAAGCCTGAAAAAATTGACATCTGAATTAGAGTAAGCTAATTCTGAATCATCTTTATCATCATCATACACACACACACACACACACGCATTATGTACATCACCAACATTTACAAATTTGACATACTTAAGAAGTCAGGAGTGAGCTGTTCAAAAATAATTAAATTTTTTTAAAGAAAGTTAAACCGAGCTCATTTTATAAAAGGAGTGCCTTTTTAAATTTCCCAATGAGCGGATGTCCTTGGCCCTGGAAAGGCAGTTGTAATTGATAGATTTCAGGTGTGGCCGGTGCATGAAGAGGGCTGTGTCCTTCCTCTGTTCCCGGCGTCCAGGAACCTCAGGTGCTGCCCACATGGTGCCCTCTGACCCAAAGAAACAAAACTGAAACCTCTGGATCAGGTGAGGTGCCAGCTTTCCTCTCTGGTGCTGTGCTCATTGCGTTTAGGAAGGAGACTTGTGCTTTGAGCTTTTGAGCCGGTGAAGGGACTGCCCTCAGAATCCGAGTTCCCGTTAGGTTAGGAAGACTTGAGGATATTTAAAACACTTGACCAAAGAGTTCTGGAAAGGTTAACAAGTATCGGCTGGATTTATTTTTATTTATTTATTTATTTATTTATTTATTTATTTATTATCACAAACCACCACATTTAACAGACTCTGGCAAGCAGACCCACTCAGGCCTCCATAAACAAGTGAGAGCCCTTGAGGGAGGGGGTTTCGGAAGAGCAGAATAAGGGCATGATTGAGCACTCTATACCAACACTAGTTTAGCTCTGCATTATAAACCAAACTGAATTTTACTTCCCACACCCTTCTGTTGCAGGACCTTAGCTGGATATTTTACAGGTGAAAAAAAAAAAAAAGCGAAGATTAGAGTGGTGAGTTTGCCACAACTCAGGTGGCTTAGATTTCAGAATTCAAGGTCTTTCTACTTTGTTTGTGCCATGTAGCTTCTCACACTCTGGGACTCAGGATACAGAGGGATGTGGAGAGGGATCTTGGCGTCTCAGAGTACTAACAACAGTGGGGTGGCGGAGACCTGCAGAATGTCTGGAACAGAGAGAGGAACAGAACTCTCTCTGTATGAGCTCACAGAATGAGGTGGCTCCTAATCAAAGCTCAGTTAGCACACAAACCCCTTCCTCCGATTTACCCCAGGCAGCGTTCACCTTGCAACTAAGGGCTGATATTTTCCAAAGGCACATTTTCTATTGTCTTTGAGTCCTTCGCTAGGCCTTTTTATCTTCTTAGAAGGGACCACTACCACCCCCCTCAGGCCCAAGGATAACCAAGGATAGTGGTAGACATACTTATGGCTTCTCATCTCGAATCCTCATATTTTACAGTTTACACTTCTACCACCTGCAGAATATGTGTGTGAATGGGTTCTAACTCTGGGTTTCTCTTTTTCCCTTTCCTCTATGTTGGAACTCTGAAGTTATGCCATCAGATATTCTGAATGGACTGGTTGTGGTTATTTTTAATTCTAGTTGACTTCAAATGGCATTCATGGCCATTTGAAGTCAACAGAATTAGTTACAGAATTAGTTACCTGAACAGAATTAGTTACCAGAAGATGTTCTCCACATCTTCTGGTAACTAATTAGTTACAGAATTAGTAACAGAATTAGTTACCTGCAGATGCTCTCCACCTACACAGGATAAACTGAACACATTAGCAAGTTAATGGAAGCCCTGATTAAAACCTAAAACCCTTTGCCCAACTCTGCAGGCATCTTTCAATTTGTAGCCAGGTTGCACCTTTGCTTGTTGCCACCATCTCTTTTCTCCCAGCACCCAGCTAGCTCAGGCCACACAAGCCCGTGTTATTCTCCTTTGGCTGGGATACCAAAGCCTCATTGTTGTCCCATTGAAATAGAGTTCTGTTTATTGAGAGAGAAGGAGTTTATGGAATTTGTGGAATGCCAACTAAACCAGATCCCTTTGGCCATCTTTATGCTTTCAAAGAGTCTGAACTTCTCTGATATTGCATGTAAAACTTCATTCAATTCTGTTTCCAGGTGGCTAGGACTTTTCCTACTCATGGGTTGAAAAACTCCAGTTTTTCTTGCTTTGCAGAATAAGCATGTATACTTAAATAAGATTCGGTGACAAAAAAGGTTTTCAACAATGGTGGAGAATATTGGAGGGGCATTCATTTGTTTCAGGATAATTTCAAAAAGATCCATTAGCTTGGAGATGCAGCAAAAATTCTACAAAATAACTGGTTTTTCATATTTGCACGAATGGAGTAAGTGTGGAGAAACCCTACTACACATTGATGCGTGACCCATTTTTTCGAATACTCCTGGGTGCAGGGGGAAGCTGCATCACAGTGCAGTACACTCACAGAGGCCATGGACCAGCTGCATCAGCGCCACCTGGTACTTCGTTAGACCCAAGTGTTCAGGCCCCACCCCAGGCTGCTGGGATTAACTTTTCTGGAGGTGGGAGTCAGCAATCTGAGGCTTTTGAGGATAGCACTTAAAAACATTGTTTTTGTTGCCGTTTTCAGCACAGCTAAGGTTCAGAAACACTGTACCCATCATGTCACGTGGGAAATCCTTAAGAGCAGAGCTGTACTGAGGGGCTTCCCAACACAAAGGAGAGGCTCTAGATTTCCACTGTCTAATGCAGTAACCATTAGGCACAAGTGGCGGTTGAGCATGTGAAGTGTGGCTAGTGTGACTGAGGCACTTATTTAATTTTAATTGATTTCAATTTAAATAGCTACACATGACTAGAGCCTAGCATACTGGCCCACATAGGTCTGGAGAAATACTTACAAGAGAAACCACTTATGATTCTTAGGGAGCACTTACTACATGCCAAGTGCCAGGTGTTTTACATGGATTATTTCTCTCAATTCTTGATTTCACCCTTTGAGGTACTATGATTTCTTCCTTTTTAAAGATGGGAAAAACTACGAGGTTTTCAGTAAGAGACTGAGAAAGAAATAGAGCTGGAATTTGAATCCGGGCCATTCTGACTTTAAAACCCACACTTGTGATTAGTACCTTGTACTACATCCTCAAAGACAGAGAAAAATGAAAGAAATGGCAAGAAAGCATCAGAGAAGAGGGTGTGCTGAGAATGTTATAAGAAGAACTCTCAAAGTTGGGTTTACTGGAAGACTGTTGAAGATACTCCACACTGGGTCACCTAGTGCCCTGTTTATGAGTGACCACAGGAGACCTAGACGAAGGTGGTCTTGAACTTCAGAACCAGAAACAATTTGTCTTAGAGCTCAGAGTCAGGAACAATGGCATTATACGCAGTGTTAACCATATGTAGTGCTGGCTGATGAAAAACACTGGCTTAAATAAGGAGTCCACCTTAGCAGATGTACAAGACTTTACATCATGTGTTTATCTATCTATCTATCTATCTATCATCTATCTATCTCATCTATTTATCACCTACCTACCTGCCTGCCTACCTATCTGTATGGATTAGAGATTGGCATGAAAAGTTACTTATCACAGCAGTCTGAACAGAACTATTGTTTTGGGAACAATGACAGAACAGTGAGAAGGTCCATGGCTCTGTAGACAGTGCAGGGAATGAAGAATGGACTTGAGAGAGACACAACATAAGAGTTAAAGTCAGTGCTGTTGTTTATTAGGTGTGTGATCTTGGGCAAGTTACTTAAGAATTTGCTTTCTGACTTTTAAAATCACAAAGACAAGGGAATCGTGAGGATTATTAGATGAGAGGAGGCTGTGCATTGTGACCTAGGACACACACACACACATACACATATACATATACACACACAACCCAAATAGATTTACACTGATGTTTCTATTCCAAATTATTTCATTTTTAAAATGTTGGTCTTGTATCAGTTGATTTTAGGGCCCCAAAAGAGTTGTTTCTCACAGAATGAGAAACACTAAAAGACCTTATATAAATTGCCTGCATATAGCAAGTTCTCAATCCATAGTACAGTATAGAAGGGTTCTTCCTTCTGTGTACATGACCCATTTCTAATTTGTCCTTTCTTAGTGCACTACAAGAATGTGGATTGTGCTCCCTCCATCCGGCTTGCCTATTCTTTTATACCAGGGGCAGGAGTGAATGCTGACTGTCCCCAAGCATCAACGCTTTGCTCTGCTTCCCCCACTGAGTTGCCTTTGGTTCTGGCTCTTTTCTTAGAGAATGGTTGTCCTGTTTTCTGATCAGTTCTGTGAGCTACCTAATATATTCTCAATAATTATATCCTGTGATAAAATACTCAAAATCAATTTCTGTTGTTTATAACAAGAACCCTTCTAGTTGATGCCTTCAAGGTCATGCCTCCATTAAGCCACCTGGGTTATAGGCAGGAAACTGCATCTGACTTGCCAACTCAGAACTTTTCTTGAATGAAGATGGGATAAGGCTTTTCACAGTCAAACTCGTAGGCTCCAGTTCAGGAGGGCACATGGTAAAATTTAGATTTTAAGTTTCCCTTTGACATTTTAAGTATCCCCAAAGGCTAGGAAGGGAGGCCACTTTGAGGCCAGGGTGAGGTAGAGGGTGTGTTTTTCCTGTGAGAGTGTGACATGGGGAGCCCGTGGCCAGCAATGCTCACCTGTAGTGACTTCGGTAATGAGTTCGGCTGAGTTGTGGCAGCCCTGTACTATGCTCCTGGTCCAGTGGGAGAGGTCCCTGCTGATTTCAGCTCTGAAGAGATGCGTTTCAATCCCCTGCCTGGTACCCGTTCGTGTTGCAAAGGACAGATCCACACCAGCCTGGGGAGATCCTTTCCCTGGACCTGAATGGACCAGCCTGTTGAGGGAAAGAGAGAAAGAGATCATCAAAGATTATCAAAGTTGAACTAACTTAATCACCTGACATGTCATTTGGTGACTTGCTGCCATTCTTCTGATCTGAAATGAAAGGGTTCACTGCACCCTTATGATCACCAGGGCTCTCTGCCATCCCTTCACCCAGTTTCCCTCAGATGGTCAAGTGAGATTAAGAAGGTGTCCAATAGCTATGTATCAAGTTGAATATGCAGAGGAGTTTGATTAATATGACTTTAATTAAGATTAGATAAATTCAACTTGACACTCATGCAAAAAGAAAGAATTGAATAAATGAGAGAGACAACAATTTAAATAGTGTGTAAAATTCCCTCCATGGTTTCATTCCTGGATGGGACAGGGAAGCCATTGTTTCCTGGATTAGACTCAGGTCCCCTATTTCTTGTAGTTGGGAGCATCTACAAGTAGTTGGGAGATTAAAACCTGCACAAAGGAAATCCAAAAGCTTATATTCTTGTGTAAGCATAAACATTGTAGACCAGAGTTATCAATGTAATAAAACATATTGCAGCTTGTTGAGTTTCTAGCAACAAGCTCACTATATAACTTAGAGATTTCCTTTACTTACAAAGTTAGAGGTATATGGTGCCAACTTGCAGAAAAAGCATTGAAAAACCTTTTGGCTATAAAATTCCTTGAAGATCGAGAAATTTACAAGAGAGAACAAATATTGGCGAGACTGCAGTGAGAAGGGAACCCTTGTCTGTTGGTGGGATTGTAAATGGGTACTTCCATTATGGATGCTAGTATATGGAGGTTCCTCAAAAAATTAAAATTAGAACTACCATATGATCCAGCAATCCCATATCTGGGAATACATCCAAAGGAAGTAAAATCAGTATCTCAGAGAAATATCTGCACTCCATATTCATTGCAGCATTATTCACAACAGCCAAGCTATGAAAACAACCTAAGTGCCTATCGATGGATAAATAGAATGTTATTCAGCCTTTAAAAATAAGGTGATCTTGCCATTTGCAACATCATGGATAAACCTGGAGGGCATTATGCTTAGTGAAATAAGCCACACAGAAAAAGACAGGTACTGTATGATTTCACTTACATGTGGTATCTGAGGGGGTAAAAGTCAAACTCACAGAAGTAGAGAGTATAATGATGGTTGTCAGGGGCTTGCGACTGGGGCAAATAAGGAGATAATGGTCAAAGGGTACAAACTTTTAGTTATAAAATGAGTAAGGCTCAAATGGATAGCCTGGTAACCACAGCTAACAACACTGTATTTAATACTTGAAATTTGCCAAGAGATAGATCTTAAGTGTTCTCACCAAAACAAACAAAAAAGTAATCATATGAGTTCATTAACTTCACCATGGTAATCATTTCACATATATCCTGTTTTCTTTTTTTATTTTATTTAATTTTTATTTATTTTTAGAGAGAAAAGAAAGGGGAGAGAGAGAGAAACATGAATGTGAGAATGAAACATCCTCTTTACCTCCTACAGGCCTCCTACTAGGGATCGAGCCAGGAACCGGGGCATGCGTCCTCACCAGTAATCCAACCTATAACCTGGCCAGGGTTTCAGTTTTCTTATTTTAAAAACATAATCCCTGACTCCTATGATTAGTATTACATATAATAAAATATATAAAGCAATTATTCCAGTATTTTGTGCATTGTGGTAAGCATTCAAGAAAAATGAGTTCTCTAGTGCCTTCCCTCGCCTAACACCCTCAATTTCTAGCCCCTAAATTTCCACCTAAGGCACATCGATTCTGTCACAATCCAGGGCCAGCATAAATGTAACAGAGAGACACAGGGAAACAAGAAAAAATATGCTGCCCTCAAGGAGAATGTCACTTTTTGGTGAATTTTCTATTGATATTTTTCTCGAAAGTGACTATAAAATTGAAGTCCATAATGTAATTTGTCAGAAAATTGGCATTTGGTAGGTCTGTGTACCAGGAAAGAAATTACTAACAGAGTGTAATGTGTATGAGAGCCCTGTATCTAGCTGACCAATAGCACGTATGGGGAGTTCTTGGGAGAAATTCAGCATGTTATAGGAAGTAATGATGAGAAGAGAGCCTTTGTGGGGAGGACCATCTGTGTACTTTGTTAGTCATCTCATCACCAAATCCTCATTGATTGGAAAGAAAAGGAAATAATTCATTTTTTAACTATCCAAGTGAGAACAGGCAGGCTGAATTATGTGTTCTTTTGACTATGCCAATCCTGGCTAATGAAACATAAAATTCTGTATATAAACTATGAGTTAAAGCAGATTTATATTTCCTGCTACCTTGTATTATATATATACTGTTAATAAATCCCACATATATCCACAGGATGCATCTGACTACACATCTTCTAGATGGAGTATTATACAGACCTTGAAAATTATTTTATAAATGTGTATTTAAATGTGGGAAATGCATATATGTCTCTTGAAAAGCTCTCATATGCAATTCAAGTATGTAAAAGAAAAGCTTAGGAACAATTTTACTAAGGTGTCAAGAAATTTTGTGGGTGATTTCATTTCTTCTGATGTTTTTTATTTATTCTTAAATTTTTCCCTAAACATATACTACACAACTTAAAGATTAGCTTTAAGAGGTTACAAGACTAAAATGAACCCAAATTTTCCACTGATATTTAGAATGAGGACTTCCATTGCAAAGAAAAATATCTGCATTCTGACCCTCTGGCATTTCTGCTTTGTGTGTTGATAGTGGCAGTTCAGTGCTGGAATACTAGATGAGCTTAAATGTTTGTGTCTGGGTTATTCTAAACTGTCCATGTCTTGCTCCTAATACCTAATGCTTATTGGCTGTAGTTATGGAATAGCGTTTCTCAGAATGAAATTAACTGATCCACATGGATTGAAACCCATATCTGTGGCCTCATTAATCCCTTACATGAACCTACTGGTCTCCAGTAAATGGGACAGGAGAGATGCAGAGACCCACCAGTTGAAGTTACAGGATCCTTTTGGATTCAGAACTGCTCTGAGGGGCCTTAGAGGAAATTCCTGCTCTGTTCAAGTCTCTCTCCTTCCAACTGACCACCAAAAATTAATCACGAAGTCATTCATCCATTTAATCAATCAAAGATCCACTAGTCACAAACTGCTATATCCCACATATATGAATAGTGCACTATTATGGACTGAATTATGTCCCCCTAAAAATTCATATGTTGAAGTCCTAACTCCTGATGTGGTTGTATTTGGAAATAGGCCTATAAGAATTTAATAAGGGTGTGGCCCTAACCAAGAGGATTAGTGTCCTTAAATAAAATAGGAAGAGATACCTGTAAGCACTCTCCCTTTGCACCCACACAGAGGAAAGGCCTTGGGAGGAAAGAGCAAGAAGGTGGCTAGCTGTCTGTAAGCCAGGAAGAAAACTCTCACAAGAAACTAACCCCACCACACCCTGATCTTAGAGTTCTAGCCTCCAGACATGTGAGAAAATAAATTTCTGTGGTTTAAGCCACCAGGTTTGTCGCATTATGTTAAGGCAGCTTGAGCAGACTAATCAAAACATCTACTCTATGCGGACTCAAGGCTAGGGGTAGTATGAGAACAGTCATGGCCTCAGCCTTGAGGAAATACAGTTCTTCCTTACTAATTCCCACAGCCTCTATATTCCAGGTTCAGCCCTGGGTCTTAGCAGACTCAATCCTACAAAATGAAGGAGAGTCAGAACCAGCCTCTGACAAATGACAAATGAAGGACATGAGCCAGGGTTAGGTGTTATCTGGAGAATTATTCCTCCTCATTGGGGCAACCTGATAATTAAGAAGCTCTTTCTCCATAGGGAAAGCAATTCCATCACAAGAATGGAGAGCAGTGGATTCTGGGACAAGGACAAAGAAGGACACCACAGTTATTAACATATCTGTAATTTCATTCCTATCAAGATATTGGAAATAGACTTCCTTTCGGTTCTTGATATCATCACAACTAGTTACTTTTGACTGTCCACAGCAATAATTTGGGGATGTTACATAGAAATGTAGACATTCACCACTATGCCGTGGTGAGGAGACTGGACAGAGATTTGGTTGTTTTATAAATCGTGGTGCTGCGAAGATGACACAAGGGCACTGGACAACTTAAATCAAGATCTTTTCTCTTACTCCTTTTGTGAGAGGTGTAGCAGCTACTAGGAAGAGAGAGAGAGAAATAGTGGGCTCATTACACTCATAAATGCTCTGTGAAATCTTTCTATTGGGATGTATTTGTATTGGCATATATCCAACCCCAAGCCAATAGAATAAATTGTATATACAATAAGTTGTATACACAGCCTCTTCACTCAGAGGCCTCACAGACACCTCAGACTCAATGTAAGCTAAAGCTACATTGCAAAAGATCCTTGAGATCTTAATTAAGTACCTGAGTTCTGAGTAACATTACACCAGGATCCACAAGGGCCATGCCCACTGCAAGTTTTCACTGGTTGTTAACACACTATTCAAAAGAAATAGTCATTCAGATGAGGACAGATTCCCTAGCAATGCCAAAGACAACAGGAGCTATCTTTAGATGTTTGTGGTGCAGGATGATAAGGAGGAGGCAGCTCTGCATTCAGGCTAACAGTGATATGGACAGATGGCTGAAAGGAAATATAACTTGTACTTTCTTACTTTGCTGCTTTATGAAAAGAATGGTTTGAGATTTGAGTCCGAGTAAGGCACAGTGGAAGCCCAGAAAGAAGTGGTATTGGGAAGAGCACACCACTGTTTCAGAGGAACACAAGTCTTTGCTGGGAAGATTACACACCAGGCCCTGGCAGGATGGAGGCACTACATGAGTGAAACTCGGGGGGGGGGGGGGGGGGAATCTTTGGGAAATCAGGGAGAACAAGTGAGAGATTAGAAGATAGGAAAAGTGGAAATGATATCCTGGTTTTCAAAATGTGGAAGAAATTAGATTCTGTCACCCTATTCCTAAGCAAGATTTTGTAATAGATTTTTTAAGTAATCATTTTTCACTTT